GACTGGCACCTCCCTGAGGAATTCAGACTGTTGTGGCTGGAGGACTTTGGGAACTGGGGTTTTTTTCTGGGGAGAATCTTGCTAGAGGCTGTAGCTAATAAACATAGCTGGACTGAATTGGCATTGTCTCTCGGAGTTCCTTGGGCTAGGATTGATACCACTATAGCAATAATGGATGGAGCTGCTCTTCATCCAGGGTGGCCATTTCTGCTCTGGTTTGTTGAAACCCAGGAAATGCTGCTTCTGTGGGTGTAAGCTCCCATATTGTTGACTTCTCTGCTTCAGTGAGGGGCACATTGTGGATTCTTGTCTTTTCTGACAGGCCTATCTTTATCAGGCTTACTACAATTGCTCTCTTTTCCTTCAGGCATTAAATGCTGCTGTTATAGTAGCCTCAATAGCCAAGAAGGCCTTATTTCATATATCAGCCACTCCCACAGTCCCACTGTGTTTATCCCACAGTCCCACTGTGTTTTTGTCACATTCAACAGCGACAAAATGTAGCAAGTCCCACCACTGAGTCAGCCCCACTGACCTGAGCAGATCCATTAGTAGGGCATGTGATAGAAAGCTATGCTCATAAATAAAAGATCCTCAGAACCCAAGAATTTATTTATTTACTTACTTATTACTAAGGGTCTATGCTACTCCTATCAATACAACTCTGATTACACCCCTTCATACGGTATTAGGATTAAAAACCTACTAAACGTAACAACCAAATATAGGCCACATCAACCCAAGTCACTCATCCAAACCCATCACGTGGCACTACTACCTTGGAAGGAAACAATCAACAGTCCATTTTATCTCCATGGGCTTTCTAGAAAAACTAGGATTTCACAGGCTCCCAGAATGCTAGTAGGGGGCATATGGTCCTGATTTGTGGGAGTAGGCTGTTCCAAAAGAGGGGAACTATCGCTGAGAAGTCTTGCCCTTTCTGACAATGACAGTCCCTTGGCATATGGACCCATGGCAAGCCTCTCTTAAATCTCACTGAATGGGTAGATTTCACACAGAGTAGACAGTGTGGAAGGCACTCAGGTCTCAGGCTATAAACAGTCACAGAAAATAAGTTGATGGAAGTTTCATTATAAGCATCTACAGGGGGACCATCGAGGAGCAAATAGCATATGTAATGTAATGTAATGTAATGTAATGATATAATCATGTTAGAATCTTCCAGCACAAATACATAATTATGGCATTGTAATAATTATATCATTGCATATGTTTTGACATAATAGTTTACAGTGGACACCCTTGGGCTCCATCTTTGTATGTAGCATGCTGCAGGATAGCTGGAGCTCCTACAAAATGTCATTTTAAAAAGTCCATTCTGAGTTTTTGTGCAGGTAAAGAATCCATATGTGTGCATTCATAGATCATCACTTAAAGAGCCATAGTTACAAGTGAATAAACAGTTGTTCATTATTTTGCTAGTATCAATTCCTTGGTATCAATAATGCAAGTCTGACCTATCCTTGTGGCTTCTGGTAGCTTTTCCAGATCTAACAATGAATCTAGCAGTCACTCTGTATAGGTATCTTATAGACATAGTCTACAGTTTATATACATCTTTTTTCTTAAAAAAAAAAATCTGTATTCTCTAGGTTCTGCTACCATTAGTTGACCAGTATTTCACCAATCATTGCTTGTACTTCCTCTCTTCCCCAACAAAGCCACTCAGTAGTAGTGGATATGCTTCAAATAAAGAAAAGGAAATGGTAGCAAGGTATGTAGAAAGCAAAGATGTATTATATAACAATATGTTGATGAAGATTCTCAGTCATCCAGGTGGAATTATCTGGAGGTTGAGTCATGGCAACTGGACTTCTTTTCTTTTGGTTTGATACGTTCACTGCTTGTCCAATTAACAATTAATTAACAATGTAAATTAAATGAATCAGTAATGAGACTAGTTGCATCTTTTTTGAAAAATGGTTCATATTCATATGATTCTAGTCAATGTATTTGTATCACAGAAATTTGTGCATATAAGGGAACTACATGCTAAATGAAAACATGCAAACTTTGTCTACCTAAAGTGGGTATTTCATGAAAACAGTTATGTTTCTACTTGCACAGGTAATTTATTAGAATAAGTCAGATCTAATTATTGATATATTTATAATGTTCAGCAGATATATTATAATTCAGATTGAATTTTTATTATATATATATTTTTATTGATAATACATAGTCTGTTCTAAACAGTCATCTGAACTAGGGGTAGTCAGTCTGATTTTTGTGGTCCTTCCATACATTATTGTTCCTGAAGTTACAATGCTTAATCTAAATAGGAGTGTCACAGTGTAAATAAACAAATCATAGCCTGTCCAGGTGATCTGTCAATAGACTAAACTATGCAGGACGTAAATGGGTTTATTGTAGCTACAGTATAATCAAGGGCACATAGTCATATTCTTTTCATTATTAAATATAGGTATGGCACCTAATATCACTTACTGTATCCCCTTTTATAAACTTGGGTTGGGGGCATTCTTTTGTTCCTCTAACCTTATTAGAGTTTGTAACTCAGTCATGGTGGCCATGCTTACAGGGCCCAAAGTACCATTAAATGCTATTTTGACTTCACCTCACTGTATAGTACTGAACGTTTTAAAAGGGTAGGATATGATAATGGATTAGTGTAATAACATTTTCTGTTGGTGCTGAAATATTTGGGGCTGGTAATCTGCAATAAAAGTCTAAATCCTTAACTTAAATATTTAAAATTCCTGGGAACAAGATTTTCACAGGGGATGCAATCTGAAACTTCAAAAACATAACCAAGAATAAACTTTCCTTTCCTTAATTTTAGTTTTTCCCAAGTTCAAAACCTCTACCCAGACATTTATGTTTTAAATATTCTTTGAAAACTGTTGGCTTCCTTACTTTTCTATAGTGTATAGTATTTTTTCTCATAGAACATCTATCTAGTTCTTTTTCTAAAACTATTTTTCAGCCAATTTGAAAGACTTTATTCAAAAACCTGACATTAAAGATTACATTCCTAATAGCTGCCATATCTGACACTAATGGGTTTTAACTGTTTGAGGAAGGCAGATTGTGTGACATTTATTTAAAGATTATATATCCCTCCCTTGATTACTACTACCACTCTAAGAAAAGCTAACAGAAGAACTTAATCTATACCTAAAATTAATTCTACATTCTGCAGCATTTAGGAATTGATTCTCCTGTATTTTTGCCTTAAACCATTTTGTCTTTGGGCAATCTGGGGAAATGACTTTCTTCTAATACATAGAGAGTACTCAGTACATTTTTAAAAAAGATCAGTGGGTATTCATTTCATTGAGCTTCCGATCTCTTGTTTATTTGCTTTCCTCATTCCTTGAGGTTTTTAAAATCTTTATCAGTCCTGAGAACATAGTGGGTATCAATAAATCAAATTATTAGTGGAAATGTTGGCACACCAGTGGGGAATAAAACACTTTAGATACTCACATTACCAGTACACCATAACCTTATTTGACACTACTTAACAAATACCTTTACGTTCTCTGAAGCATAATTTGGGCAAAGGGTCTACTACTGGTGTTGTACGATTACTACTGGCAGCCAGTGCAATAACCTTAAAGCAAGAATTATTCTACAATGCTTGGAGCTGCTCTTCAGTAGCAGGTACCACTTGCTGCAACTAGGATCCTGGGTCTTCCTATCAAGTTGAAGTTATTAAGTTCTAAGCAAAGTTTATCTAGCTAGTGTATTTTGTTTCTCAGTTATAGAAGCTAAGGTGGTTCTTCCTTTCAGCAGAGGTTTCAGTGGCCTCCAATGGCCTCTGGAAAGTTAGACTTTTAAAGCAGATGTCAAAGTGTGTTTTCCTTTGCATGTCCCCTCCCACCCCCAAAAAACCTTTAATGAATAATCACCGTAGGATTCTGGTGAATGTATATCATCATTTTCATTATTATCATTGTTTGATTGCTGAAAATAGAAATAATAAAATAGGATTGATTATTTCCCCCTAGTTTTAATTGTATTTAGCAACACAATTCTGATAAATATGTATTTTACATTAACTAAATACAATTAAGCAATTGTTCAGAAGAGTCTAGTTAATTACTGTGTGTCTTCATAAACAGTTAAAGTGCACATTAACTAAATACAATTAAGCAATTGTTCAGAAGAGTCTAGTTAATTACTGTGTGTCTTCATAAACAGTTAAAGTGCACATTAACTAAATACAATTAAGCAATTGTTCAGAAGAGTCTAGTTAATTACTGTGTGTCTTCATAAACAGTTAAAGTGCATGTCATAGGAAATAGAGGGTTTTTTTAGAATAATATTTACTTTTTTTCTAGGTGTTAAAATGTGTATGCTTATCATATTTAAAAAAAAACAGTTACAACAATCCTTTCAAATTCAAAGGATATATAGTTTTTGCTACTCTATTAGATTATCTAAGCAAATACTTTGTTTCTGCGTATGCTTCCTCCTCTTTTACATTATTTTCTGTTTTAGCCTTTTCTGCAAACTTGCTGCTCTTGTTAGACATAGAATTTCGCTGTTTGGTAAGTTTAAAAAGATTTTGATAAAGCTTTAAACTGTATGAAGTTTGGTTTGAGCTGCTTCTGAATTTGCGACAAAATGCACTGTCATTTTTTTCTAGGTTGAAGCACTATGTAATTTGTTGTTCCCATTGGGTGATGCTGTGCAGTCTTCTAATAATCCTATTTGCTGTTTCTTAAACAAGTTTTCATTATTACGTGATTACTGTGTTTTCAGTAATATGTCTCTTGCTGAGTACAAGTTCAGTTCAGTACTACATTGTTGTACTGAAGGGAAACCATATGATTGATCTGTAAGATAGAAATTTGATTATTAACACATTATTTCACTTCTTACATAAATCAATTTACTACATATTTTAGCTGTGTTCTGTGTGGATAAAGTATTTATGAAATGAATCCATATGCTGTTTATGGATTATGTTAACAACCCAAACTGAAGCTCTTATAGTCATGTCACCCACCCCAATCTTTCTGGGCCTTCACGTTACTTGAATCTGGTGTTTAGGTCTAATTCAACAGGTCCTCTTTGTTCTACCGCTTCACTCGGGCAGCCTTTCACTTACACTTCTCCACCCAGTTTGCTGAAACGTCTTAGCAGAAATTAATTAAACTATATAGTAGCTCCATTGCCATTATTAAATTATGGTCCTATTCAACATTTAAAGATTATGATGTAAGTACTGGTTTAATGGTTCTTGTCTGCTGTCTGACAACTGACTTAGAAAACAAGGAAACAGCTATTATCCTCTAGAGGCTAATCACAGAATAGTTATAACAACGTCAAATACCATACTTTGTGATGTTATGGTAATTCAGCAGTTGGTATTCCAGATGTTATGCACCCATAAGCAGGCATAGCAAATCTGATTAGAAAGGCAGTCCCTTCATAAGGTCCTCACAAACCAAAAATACCAAAACAAAGTGTTAAAGTTGAGTAAAATACCATTTCTTTTATGGGCCTTATTTTTTTTATTTATTTTTTTATGATCTGATGAGAGGGTTATTCCATCTTCATGAAGTTTTAGGATGAAAGTACTCAATTTCAAGGAAATAAGAGGAAAGAGAGAAGTTGGATGGCCCAGCTGAATGGTTAATAGTGAAGAAAGTAGCATCTTAACCACAAAGACAGTATGGCTGTAAATCCCAATCAGCTAACCTACAGAAGGAGTACATTGCTCTCAGAACGGGAAGCCAATATGTTTCTTTGGCAAGGATCTGAGATTATGAATATAAATGTGAAGTAGACATATGAGAAAATGGGACAGCAACTGAAATAGATAGAAGGTAGGGAAGAAGTATTTTTAGGTTTCCTCTGTGAATTTTAGGTAGCTTGTAGCTGACCATGGAAGAAATAATTAGTGGGAGGGTATGGATTTATTGATTAGAATAATTATGAAGTTCTACTGCAAAAAACAATAAAAAACTGTTCAAAGCAGTAATGTCTCTATTAACATTTTAAATCACAGGTGAGTAGCCTGTAAATGACATGTAGCTTCCATGTATGAGTACCTCCTGTAGACCCCAGATCGCACTGCATAAATGCTGACTTCCATCACTGTGAATTTTAAAAACTATTTTAACGTAATAGATAGAAAGGTGCTGAAAAGAAGCTGCTTGGCCATACTTCAAATATAGAATTACTAATAGGAAGAAACTGACAAAAAGTAAGCCTGAGTAATGGTCTGAGTAGTGTTTGCATGCTATTATTAGCCTGACGCTTAGATGAAATAGGAAGAAAAAGGAAGAAAAGCTTCAACTTTCATTATTAGAATAGAATAACAGATATCTCTAATATCGACATATTTAGTACATATTTTATTTAGAAAAAGACATTTTCTTGTTTTAGAGGATTTTAAAAGAGCAACAGCTTTTCTTTCCTTCAACTTTGAATAGGTAGTGATGCTGCAACAATGGTTAGCTGCCTACACATCTTAGCTCAGACTCTAGATACAAGGTAAGCATGATTATTTACTCCTGTTTTCCATTCTTACCTATCAGTAGTAACAGGAAGAGAATCTGTGTTGGGCTGCTGCAGCAAAATAAAGCAAAACACAGTCTTGGAGCATATAAAAGCTAACACAGTTATTATGGGTTAGGCTTTCATGGACAAGAGTTGGTTTCCATGGATCAGTGAAATGCTCTATTGTTAGATATTAAGATGCCATTAGATTCTTTGTGTTTTTATCAGTAATGTAACTGAAGTATTTTTTCAACGTTTTCTTTCTACAATTTCTACACATTGAAATCCACCTTTGAGGAGTAGACTAAATTTGGACCCTTTTTTCCTTCCACTATCAAGTTTTATGAGAAGTATAGTAGAGGTGCATGGATGTCAAAGTCTTCATGTGATTGTGTGTGTGTATGAGTGTGTGCTATGTGTCAGGGCCACATGGGGCTAGAACAAGGGAAAATGCTGATGTAGAAAAAGCAAACATTGAATATGTCCAAAATAAAAAGCAATTTTTCTTTTTTAAAAAGCATCCATTTTATACATTGATTCCCTTTGATCCACCTCTCCCAATTTATATAGTATTGGACCTATAACTATACTGTTGTGATTACATTTATTTATTTGTATATATTTATATGGCTGCCCATCTCACAAATGTGACTTTGGGTTAAATCACTAGCTGTTGAGAATGTAGATTAGGACTGCACACAAAGCTTTGGAGGATTACAAATTTTGCACCCTGTTTTATAGAGAACCTTGAGACATGTAAACCAGTTTGAAATAATGTAGCTTAAATGTGGGGTTAGGGGATGCGGTGGCGCAGCGGCTTAATGACGCCGAAAGTTGCCGGCCAGAAATGGCTGACGCTTCGGCGGTTCGAGTCCAGCCTTTAAAGCCCCCATCTGAGATTAACACAGAGTGTATGAATAAACACTAACATTAACTATAAACATTAGCTAATGAAATAATGTTTAACTGTACAGATACTCGCTTTCTAAGTGACATTTTCAAAATTATCTTGTAGAACTGTCATGAAATCTGGTTCAGAGATGGTTAAAGCAGGATTGCATGCCTTCTTCGAGAATGCTGCAGAAGATCTGGAGAAGACATCAGAAAACCTGAAACTTGGAAAATTTACCCACTCCCGAACTCAGATTAAAGGAGTCTCACAAAATATCAACTATACAACAGTGGCGCTGCTGCCTATCTTAACATCCATTTTTGAACATGTTGCTCAGCATAATTTTGGTACTGATTTGCTTTGTAAGTCCTCTGCTGTTTTAGTTTTTAACTTTAGTCTAGAAAATTGTTCCATTGTAATGAAGGAGGCATGACTGTTGTGTTTCATTATCCTATCTACCTTCATGCTATGGACCAGCAAGTTGCATTATGGTTCATGACCCTCAAGGAAAAGGCTTTCATCCTGCAATGGAGTGATTTAGGGTGATAATAATTCTTATTCACCCAATTAGAATGGCATCCAAAGTCATTTTTATAAAGACACAAATCTGAGAAGTTCTGCCCTCAGGCTTATGGTCTAAAAAAGATATGACTCAGAAAGAAAAAGAATTGGAAGGGGAAATGATTGAAACATTTGTATTCAGATGAACACAATAACATTTCTTTCTTTTTTTTTCCTTTCAGTAAATGATGTCCAAATTTCATGTTACAGAATTCTTTGTAGTCTCTACTCTCTTGGGACTGGAAAGAACATATATGTTGAAAGGTATTTAATAAAAAGAACTGGTTATGATGTACAATTTTTTTCTTTATTTTTAGTATATTATCAACAGTGAGAGTCCTCAAAATATAATGGTCAACAGCTCTCAAAATAAAAAATTCAGTATTTCATAAATAAAAATATTACTATAAAAATATTATACTATTTACTAGCTTATCCCTTTTAAACAGGGGCCTCCCAAGGTTATGTTGTTTCCAAAATATGGAATGCCTTTTGCTAATCCTATCCTAAAATCTACACATCTTATTACACATAGCTATTATTATATTATTTTAATTGTCATAATAGTTAATGTAAAACCTTGTTCCATTATTTTTTATCAAGAACAAATTACATCCACTAGAAATTGAAGAAAAAAATTCAGTGTTATTTTGGTAGGTAGTTGGGTAAGCTATGGGTCTACAACTATGTGTGATCTTTGAATTGATCTAGCCTGTTATATGGAAAGTAGGATGATAGTGGGGAAGAGAAGAAAGAGAAAGGTTGGAAAAGAGAACTTCCAGAAAGAAAAAAAGGGGGGGAAGCTCTACACATTTTTATCTCTGGGCACCGTATTGCTTGCTTACGCTCACTCATTAATATGCCTCTCTCTCAACAGAGAAAATAAATCTATATATGATATAGAACTTTTGTTCTATTGTTAAAGATACTGCTTTTTACACTGTGACCGGAGCTCTGTAGTAGAATTATCTGAAAAAATATGTGTGCAATTACTAGAGGTCACTTCAGTTGAAGAGCAATGCCGTTTTCCCTTCTTGAAGGAGAAAGCTAGGAAGAATCAGCTAGAGACTGAACGCCCTGAACCCACTGAAGCTTTATACTCCGGTTACGCTGCAGTAGCGTACCATCACTAATGCCAGGCATCAAGGCAGCCTTAATACCTGATCTGTTTTCCAGCTCCAAATCAGGCCCAGGTGGATTTTTTTTATCTCACAGAGTATAACATGCAAACTTACAAGACAAAATTTATATTATAAATCCTATATGTGGAATGAAAATTGAAAGTGGGTTTACAGACTATGGTAAAATGGAATAAAATGGAATCTTAGTCTGAATCATAGCAATACAAAGCTATTCTTAATACTAAGAACAGAAGGTGGGAGGAATGTTCCAGAGAGGGGAGAAAATGTCATTTGTGAAATACTGAAAAGAATCATGCAAGTTCATTTTAGAAAGTTTACTGAATGAGATGGGAAGAACAGCTTGATCAAACTGTATCAACAATCAATTTCAAGTGGAAATTCACACACATACAGAACGAATGTCATTTTTTCTCCCTTTGAATCCCTGAAACACAAAGTAGGTGAATCACTGGAAAGATAATGGTAAATCAACCCTGACTGAACTCCCTCCCATTTTCTGCAGAAATATGTAACAATAATAATAAACAATCAGCAGCTTTTAAATCATTTAGAGTTTATTCACTCTTTTTCATAAGACTGCTATTTTAATCAAAATAAATTGATTATACATCCCCCAATGGTACTTTAATATTTTAAAGTGCAAGAAGAAATATACCAAGGCCATGAGTAATGATGTTTGGCCCATTAGAAAGGGATTTCACCTATACCTTATTTAAAACAACAGCAACAATTTACAGCAGTTCTTGAGCTAGGCGTTTTTTTTTTAATTATCCTAGAAGGATATTTTAAAATACATACGGTTCTGAATTGCAGTATCAATTCTCAAACGTTTCATTCTGAAACATTTCCTATGCAAAAACTGAGGAAACATTCCAGATCAACTCCAATGTCGTTTGGAGAAATGGATTCATTTTGTAGAAGATCGAACGTATTGAGGATTTTTCCTCCATTAATAATATTTTCTCTCATTTTCAGGCAAAGACCAGCTCTTGGTGAGTGCTTAGCTTCTCTTGCAGCAGCAATTCCAGTAGCCTTCCTTGAACCTTCTCTCAATCTTTACAATCCCCTCTCTGTCTTCAACACAAAGTCAGCCAGAGAGAAAGCTAGTGAGTACATCAGAAACTATAAGGCTCTTTGAAATGAAAACACTGCATCTTTTTTTATTCAAAAATGCTTGCCTAAAATTCTTATAGAATTTTATTAACGTGCCCTTTAGTTTTACATCATAAAAATGCCCATAATATTATAAGACTCCGTTCTTATGGGAATGAATAATACTGGACATATTTATAGCTACTAAACTGAATTCCCATGTTTATGATCTGTTTAAATCTCATGGACACAAATTAATGGTAGGCAGTTTTCTATGTTTTTCATAGGAACTTCATTTAAGTGTTTTCATTTCATGATATAGTTATATTAATTTTGTATTTATGTAATCAGACTTCATAAGTAATTTAAAAGTCAGAGTATAAATCTGTGATCCTGATCTCCTTTGAGATTCAAAGGTGGGAGTGAATAAGGTTCACAACCATATCCCTGAGGTGAGGGGAGTAACATTTTCTACTTCTATCCCTTTCTTGATTAAAATCACTGCTCCCTGAAGTTGCTATTTGCCTCTTGGGGATGAACATTCAGGTACCAGCACATTTCCTTCTGTAAGAAAAATATCAGCTTCAGGTGTAATTTCAAGAGAAGAAATGATATTTCTTCTCTTGAAGGATTAAATATCCCACTGAGATGTAGACCTAGTCTACTACTGTTATTAGTTTTCTTTTAATAAGTGTCAGGGCTGAGTAAAGGCAGCAATCTGAGATAAATCCAAATCTGGGAATTTAAAGCTATGAAACAAATCAAAACCGGAATCCAACAGCAAACCAGGAACAAAGTTTAAATCAGGAGGCAGGACTGAGGAGTGAGCCAGATGTAAGGATTAAAAACAAACAAAAGATATAGAACTCAGGAAGACCCTATTGCTTCATCAAAGGATGCTGGAATAGGAAGCCATTGTCATCTTCTGTGGATCTATTGGCAGGGTAGCATCAGTCCAAGGGCTCAATGTCCTTAAATGAGTCCTTGCCACCTAAGTTCAGGATTTCTAAGTAGACAGGATCCTCCAGACTGTGAGGGCCACCACTTGTCATCTGGACCCATGCCCCTCCTGGCTGGTGAAAGCAGCTTGGGAGGTAACACGCGGTTGGATCCAGGAGATAGTTAATACAGTGCCCTTTAAAGAGGCGTTGGTGCACCCCCTCCTCAAGAAGCCTTCCCTGGATCCTACCATATTGGACAATTTCTGTCCAATCTCCCACCTCCCCTTTTGGGGAAAGGTGGTTGAGAAAGTGGTGGCATCACAGCTCCAAAGGGTTCTGGAAGAAATGGATTATCTGGACCCTTATCAGTCAGGTTTCAGGCCCGGTTATGGAACAGAAACGGCATTGGTTGTACTTATGGATGATCTCTGGTGGGAGCGGGCTGGTGGAAGTGCAACCATCCTTGCTCTCCTTGATCTCTCAGTGGCTTTTGATACCGTTGGCCACGGTATCCTATTGGGATGGCTCAGGGACTTGGGGGTGGGCGGCACAGTCTTGTGCTGGTTCGCCTCCTTTCTTCGGGGCTGTCCCCAATCGGTGGTGATAGGGAGCGAGAGGTCCCATCCTCAGCCCCTCCTCTGTGGGGTGCCGCAGGGCTCGGTTGTCTCCCTTCTCCTTTTCAATATCTACCATATACCGCTCGGGGACGTCATCCGGC